TCTTTACTGTGCAGATCACAATGTCTGGGTGGGATGTCTTGTTCTGGTCTGGTCTGATTTAGGTTCTAAAGACTTCTTGTATTTGAATGGGCCTATTGTTTTAGATGTTCAGGAAGTTCTTTGCTAGAATTCTATTAAATATATTTCCTTTCCATTTAGCTTTCTTCTCTTGACCTTCCTCCATACCTATCATCCTTAAATTAGATCTGATTAAGTCTTGAAGCTCTGATAGGCACTTTCCTTATTTCTTGGTTTGTTTTGAATAATTGTCTATCTTTATAAATCTAGGCTATCTTCAATTCCAGAGATTCTAACTTCTGTATTGTCTAATCTGCTGTTAAGACTTTACTTTTTTTATTTTTCTGCACTTTAATTGGTCATTTTTTGGGGGAGGGGTTTGGTCATAGGACTTGAACTCTGGGCCTGGGCACTGTCCCTCAGCTCTTCAGCTCAAAGCAAGCACTCTACCACTTGAGCCACAGCGCCCACTTCTGGTTTTCTGGTGACTTATTGAAGATAAGAGTCTCATAGACTTTCCTCCCTGGGCTGGCTTTGAACTGTAATCCTCAGATCTCAGACTCCTGAGTAGCTAGGATTACAGGTTTGAGCCACTGGTGCCCACTTAATTGGTCATTTTTGATGGCTTCAGTTTCTTTGTTGAAGCTTCTTTTTAGAGCTTTACTCTCTTGGTTTGATTTTCAGTGTTCTCTCTCATATCCTTTAGCTGAGTGACTATTTTTTCATTGGACTCCCTTTTCTTTTCTTGGAGTTCATTCAGCTTTCTATTTTTGAATTCCATGAATTCCTCTATTATTCTTTGGTTAGCCTCATCATGCTCATGCATAGCCATGTGCAAGCTTTCAGTCTTTTCATTCAACATATTTACCAGCAGTGTTTTGAAAGCATTTTGAGAACTATTCTCTAGGTCTTTCATTGACTGCTCTATTGGGTGTTTATTTTGAGTAGGAATTAAGGTTCCTTGACTTGCCGTTTTTCTTGTGTTTCTGTAGTTTATTCTGCCCATTTGGGAAGAAAACAAATCTAAGGGCTGGGAAGGTGGCTCAGTGGTGGAGTGCTTGCCTTGCATGCCCGAGGCACTGGGTCCGATTCCTCAGCACCACATAAGCAAAAAGTAAAAAGCCGGAAGTGGCACTGTGGCTCAAGTGGTAGAGCGCTAGCCTTGAGCTGAAGAGCTGAAGGACAGCACCCAGGCCCAGAGTTCAGGCCCCATGACTGGACCCAAAAAAAACCCAAAAACAAGCAAACAAAAAACCCCACAAATCTAATACCGTAACAGAACACAATTTCAAGACAAGAACTAACCCACAGCCCTGTAATTACACAGACTTTAGAAGTTCACAATCATAGGTAAGTATTAGACTATCTACCTCTCCTTTTTGTACACAAAAGCAAATCCAAAACCAAAGCAGAACACAGCTTTAAGACACGACCCCTGTAATAGCACAGGCTTTAGAAATTCAAAGTCATAAATAAGTATTCCCCTATCTCCCACTCCTTTTCTTTGGTTGGGGAGGGGTATTGTGGTTCAGGAGTGGAGATTTTGCATAATTGTAACCAGTGAACAAATCTGTTGTGAGTGATAAAACATTCTGAACCCAAATGAACCCGAAGGACACAGACAAAATGGAAACAAATACAGGCTAACTCTCAAACAATTAGGGATCACCAGACTAAGAAGAAGGATGGAAGGACCAAAAAAAAAAAAAAAAGAAGAAGAAGAAAGAAAGGAAAATAGGTTAAAGTGAAATTAAAAAAAAAAAAGAAGAGATCTAATAAAAAATAGAGGGAGGAACAAGTAAGGTTAGAGGAACATAGAAAAGGAAAGGAACAGATACTGTTCTCGGGGAGGGAGGTAGGATGTCTTTTGTTGTGTCCTTATGCTTTCCTTTGGTGATTTGGACCATCTGTGATTTGATGAGTTGTCTCTGCATCTGTCTGTGGCCAGCTGGGATGTCAATTCCCATTCTTGCTCTTTAAACTCATGCTGGAGGTGAGTGGAAAGCCTGCACATGCTGTCTCTTCTTTTTTTTGTCCGGGTTCCCTCTGTCTTCCACTGCTACTGGCAAGTGCTTAAACCTGTCATCTTAAGCAACCTGCTTGTAAATTTCTTCTTAGGTATAAATCCCAGTATAATTATAGCTTACTAGGTGTGATTCTCTAGATATGGATAATTTGGTAGAACCCTAAAACTCTGCTTCTTCAGAGACAGCACAGTTGGTCCCCTGCTAATTTTCTACCATGTTTGAGACTTCTGTATTCTGTTTTTTAATTCTTAACCATTGCACCTATTAATAGATTATCTTGTTTATCTTCCTTCTTTAGCATATAATCTTTGTTGTCTCACTATTACATAGTAGGCATACAATAAATATCGAACTGTTTACATAACTTGTCTGTATTTTAATCCACAACTTTTAATAAGTTATAATTATAGAAAAACTCAATCTAAGTTGGATTGATTAAGATTTTGAATATTAGTTTCATTTCTCTGTATTCTCTACAAGTAATCCTTTCCAATATTCACTTGTAAATCAGATGCACCTGGATAATTTTTTTAATTCAAAATGTTTTATTGTTCTTATAAAGGTGATGTACTTTATCTCAGCTTCATAAGTGAGGTAATAACTGTATTTCTTTTTGGACAGTGTCACTTTTTCCTTTCCTCTCTTCTGGTTTTTCCTTTCCATCCCCACTTACAAGTTGTATGGTTCATTTTCAACATAGTATATAGTGAGTACCACTGCTGCATTTGTTCACTCCATCTGTCCCTCCATGTCTGTATCTCCCCCCTTATCCTCCCAAAGACAGATAAATGATATTAAAAAAAAAGGAAAAAACCCAGGAAAATTCTCTTGTTTCCATATCCTGGAGTTCATTTCAAGAAATATTATTTTATGTCACCAGAAGTGCCATTGTATTCCTCCCCTAAGAATATCTTCCTTTGGTCTCACTGTGTGTGAATGACTACTATATAATTTATCATGTCCCAGGGTATTTTAGACCTAGCTTCCACATATGAGAGAAAACATTTGCCTTTTTTCTCTCTGAGCCTAGCTTAACTCAACATAATTTGTTCTAGGCTGGCTGAATTTTTTGCAAGTGGAAGAATCTTGGCTTATACCTGTAATTCCAAGTATTTGGGAGAAGTTTCATGGTTTGAGACAGTCAGGGGAAAAAGTTAAACTTATCTCAACAAAAATGCTGTTTGTGGTGACATGATTATCCTCCCATCCATGTGGAAAGATGAGTAGGAGGATTATGGACCAAAATGGCCAAGGCAAGACCACAAGACCATACCTGAAAAGTAAAGCAGGAAAAGGTTCTTACAAGAGAATACTTGCCTGCCAAGTGTGAGGACTTGTGTTCAAGCACCAATAGTGCCAAAAAAAATGAAAAGAGACAATATCTTCTATTTATTATAATAGTACAAACTTGACTATAAGCAGTTTGTGATTTTTCCTGTGCTATAAATTTTTAATTGGTAATAACTGTACAGTTACATTGTCCAGATCTCTTAGAGTGACTCTTCTGATTTAGAATCCTTAGAATGCCTTTTAGAAAATGATACTTTACATTTGTAATGTGCTTTATAAGTCATGAATTGCCCAACCCCCAGTCAAAAGCAATATAAATTTCTCTGCTATTTTTGTTCTTTTTGAGCTAGAGGGTCTTGCTATGCACCCCAGGCTGACCTCAGACTTGCGCTATTCCTGTCTCAGATGTGGATGCTGAGATGACAGTGTTTCACACTCATGCTCAACTTTGTATTGTTCATTGTGCGTGTGTGCATTACATGATATCTTCTAATAGTATAAAATAGTATAAACAATAAGAAAATATAAACAATGAGAATTATTGTGGAATTATGAATAATGAACATTTGTGAGCAAAACATTAATTTCCCTCTTAATATCAAATCGAGTTCTTTTTTTTCCTTAAAATATGACCTAATGCCTATAACACTGTAGGTCCTTATTGAATATTTGATTGATAACTTGAAAATAAAATTAGAAATTAGAATTTTGTCAGCCCATGTGTTTCTTTTTTTGGGGGGGGGGGATCCGGTTGTGGGGCCTGAACTCTGGGCCTGGGCGCTGTCCCTCAGCTCTTCAGCTCAGGCTAGTGCTCTACCACTGGAGCCACAGTGCCACTTCCGGCTTTTTTCTTTTTGCTTATGTGGTGCTGAGGAATCGAACCCAGGGCCTTATGCATGCAAGACAAGTGCTCTACCACTGAGCTACCTCCCCAGGCCCCCATGTGTTTCTTTTTAAATTTCTTTGCTACCTCCAACCTTTGAAACCACTCAGTCCCACATAAACTTGTAGTCACTGCCAATAAAATAAAAAGCATCTTTATTTTTCATTTTTCCTATCATAGTTTTTGTCTACAAGTTGGACTTGACCTAGATTTACCATTTCTGCATTAGGGACAACTTGGGAGACTTCTAATGCTCCTGACTTTTATCTAATTCATCTTAACTCTTGCTTACATTTTTCTTCTTTGGGAACTTAATAGCTGTTTTAATATTTTTGGTTGCAAAATATCTGTCAAAATGTTCTGATAGCTTTGGTTAAATTGATTTTTTACACAGGCTAACTTTTTTCCAGTCTTGGAAATCTCTCTCTGAGCAAATGGAGCAGCAGTGACATGCAGTGGTTGACTAGATTACTTGCTAGGCTTTACTATAAAAGAGATATTATTATAGTCAAATATATTTTGTTTTGATTATAAAGCAAATTAAACTGAATTAATATTTATGTGAACTAAAAATTGGGCATAGATTATTTTTATGCTCAATATATATAGGTGGGTATATTAGATAAATTTGCACCTAAAAACATCACTTACTTCAATATAAAAAATATATAGTCTAGTAAATGTTAGTCATTCCTCAATATGTTCTCTAAAAGTTTAAAGTTACTAACTATAAATGAAAATGGTTGTACTTTTTATGCTTATATATTTATTTTTCCCCAAAGTCCAGGAAATGAAAATTTTCTTACACCTGCTAAAACTATGAGTGTGGATTACAGAAGCATGAATACAAACAGTCAGTCAGACTTCATTACTAAAAACCAACCAGTACAAGATATTTTGAGAGATAATGGAAAAGAATTTTCAAATTTTTTTGGACACATAACCCAGCCAACTCATGGGTTTGTGTCAGAGAATGAGGAGTCTTTTGTTAATCAAAATATCATCAACTTACTAAACATAGATCAACAAAGAATAAAAGAAACCTTTGACAAATGTGGTCATGATAATTTTGGAGATACTTGTGCAGTCACTCATTCTGAAAACCATCCCATCAATGGATGCATTAGAGGCATTTTCACAGCTCCAGAGTCAACTTTTAGCTGTTACCCAGAATCATGTCAGTCAAGCAAGAACTATCAGAAAGAGTACAGTGATGAACTAAATGATGTTAACACATGTTTTGAGAAGAATTGCTACCCAGCCAACTCTGGAAAAAAAGGTTGGTATTGTACATGGAAAATACATTTTTTGGTTTTCAGCTTTGATATATATTGGTATATTTTACATATATAATATCCACATACTTGTATATAGTTGGATTTTCAAAACTGAAGTTTTCTTTATTTGAAGATTTATCTAACCATAGACTGACACTATTTTTTAAAATTAGTCCCTCTACTGGGCATGTACAGATTTTTGTGTGTATTCCAGAAACAACTTCATATCAGCTATTTATATGGCATCAAATGACATAAAGCACATGAGGATGAGCATATTTTGTATGCATATACTAGGCCATTTTACGAAAGAGTTTTGAGCACCCATAGATTTTTGACATGTGTGAGCAGATGGGCAGAATAGTGGAGGAAAGTATCCATGTTCAATTCCAAGGGATGACAGTACAGTGTGTACATTTTATATATGTGTTTATAGAAATACAAAACCATAAACTAGAGTGAATTTCTGTTTATGACTATGTCAACCCGTAATTTCCTGCTGTATGTTTCATGCTCATATGTCTTTAAGTGAAAAAATATAAGTAAATCATGCTAGATCTTTTACTCAACGGATATTTTATTTTTAAGGAAAACTTAAAAATGATTACCAAGAGAAGATACAACAGAAAAATACCCAGAAATATCTAGAGAACTATATGTAAGTTTTCAGATAAATCTGTTGAATGCATATTAGGATATGTATCTGTATATTATATATTACAATGATGTGTATGTCAGGTTGAAGCAAGGCACTGAGATGAGGATGGGGTCTTAGCATGAGCAGCCTAGTAAACTTTATCACAATGATCACTCTAGTTGAGAGTATCCTCCTTATAGCTGCTGGCCTTGAAATATCTTCTTATATGAATATTAGTGTTCATGACACTAAGGAAAATTTGTAAGCTCGAGGAGTTAATAGAATATCAATTTATTTGCAGTAAGTAAGAAAGAAGGGAGTTGTATGTAAAAGGATGTTATTAACATGACAAGCATATTTTCTTACTTTGGATTTCCATAAGAAGATTGGTTTGTATTGAGTCAGAACAAGGAATAATGGGAATAGAGGTATCGCTTAGCAAGCTCAACGTCTTAAGTTCAACCTAGATACCACAAACAAACAAGAACAGGGAGTAAAGATGCATATATGACTGACATCAGCAAGCATACCAGCCAGCCATTCATGGGTCAGTGTGTATTCTAGGAATAGAGCATTTGCCCTCTTATCAGCATTTGTCTCTCAGACTCCTAATTTTGTGCCTTCTTGCTGATGGTCTACAATACCTTCTGGGCTCAAGGAGATTTGTAATCAAATCCTTTGTAATTTTATACCTAATTTATTCTTTAGAGTTTTCAGGCTGTTTTACTAATCCTTCTGCATAGTGACTTCCAACTATGGATATTAAAAGAAAACTTTATTTTAGCCAGTAATTTTGGAATAGTACCCACTTTTTTGTGGGGACTATTAATTGTAATTTAGACAAATCTTTAAAACTAGAGAACTATTTAGATTTTTATTTTGAAAGTGGCTTTGGGACATCTTTAAAATACTAATTTAAGAGAATACCTAAACCTCATACCTATAGTCAAAGCTAGTCACGAGACAGTTCTGAGGATCACAGTTCAAAGCCAGTCCTGGATAGGAAAGTTAGTGAACTTTTTTTTTATTGTGAAAATACTGTACAGAGGGGTTACAATTACGTGGGCAAGATCATGAGTACATTTCTTATCAAGCATTGTAGCCTCCTCCTTTGTTTCCCCTTCCCATCCCTTCCCATCTTCCCCCCGCCCCTCCACCCAATCCTCCTCCCCCAATCCCCCCCACCAAAGTTGTAAAGTTCATTTTCAACATAATGACTTGCACATCTCATTGTTGCAATGGGTCCAACTGTATCCCTATTTAAACAATTTGTTTTTTCTCTTCCCCTCCACAAATTATGCCAACATCAAGTACAGTGAAAGCAGGGGTTATACTGTGGGGGAAGTGAAATTCTTATCTCCAGTTAACCAGCAAAAAGCAGGTAGTAGAGCTGTGACTCAAATGGTAGATCACTAGCCTTGAGCAAAAATCTAAGGCAGAGCACCCAGGCCCTAAATTCAAGCTCTAGTACTAACACAAAAACAACAACAAAAAGAATACATGTAATTTTTTGTGAGATTTACATAAAATGCAAACTCATAACTGATTTTGTTAAAATTATCAAATTGTCTCTTCCTCAAATATCAGGGAATTTTTGAATATAAAACTGTAGGTTAGAAGCTGGGTGCTGGTGGCTCATGCCTTTAATCCTAAGTACTTAGGAGGCTGAGATCTGAGGATCACAGTTCAAAGCCAGCCTGGGCAGGAAACTCCATGGAACTCTTTATCTCCACAAGAAAACCAGAAGTGGTGCTGTGACTCAAGTGGTAGAGCGCTCACCTTGAGCTTAAGAGCGCAGGGACAGCACCCACGCCGAGTTCAAGCCCCACAACTGACAAAAAAAAAACCCAACAAAACAAAAAAAACAGAACAAAAACTGTAGGTTAGATTTTGAGTTTAAAATCTATTTCAAGATTTTAAAATCTATTTAAAATCTATTTCAATCTATTTCAATGGTTTAGAATAGCTTCCAAACCTAGATACAAACCCCAGTTACTTCAGGGGCAATGTTAAAACTGTAGAATTCTTAGCATGGAGTATATATTTCTTTTTTTTTTTTTTTAAAGAACTTCTCACATAATTGTTTTCTGAAGTCAAGTTTAGAGATTACAGTTTACCATAACTTTTATAGGGAGTAAAACATATTAATTTTCTTTTTTCTATTAAACTTAGTGGTGCTTTCCCTTTGGAAGATACACAGTCCCAGGCCTTTGGACTTGGTGAGGTAAAACATATCTCTTTCTAATTTAGTCAGGTCTTTCTATCATATTTTAATATTTACATTTACTTTGATTTATAGTTAGCTCTTATTCTTTTTTATGAATTCTTATATTGTCTTAGGAAAATTATAGCTTAGATCTACAAATAGAAACATCTTTATAGAAACTGTAATGTTCTTTCTTTGATACAAATCAAATAAACCTAAATACATTTTACATAATTTCTGTACATTTTATATAAGATTTCTCCCAGGACTAAATGCTTTATGTTTCATTGTATTTCTGGTTGAGGTGGTCATATGGTTCAGAATATTGAAACATGTAAGAACATACAATGTCATTATACTCCCTATTATTAAAAATAATGTAACAACAGTATAACAATTGTTATATAACAGTTAAGCTTTATGCACTTTGATCTAGCAAATCTGATCCTGTAGTCTTCAGAACCAAAGAGACTGAACGTCAGAGATTGAGTAAATTGGTCAAGGTCCTGTATATGAGCTGGGATTCTGACTTGATATTTTCAGCTATACTGTTTTCTTTTGATTCTTCATAAATAGGCATTGAGTGTTAGGTATCTAATAGGCACTTATTCAGTGCCTTCTATATACTAGACTATAAGAATAAAATGATGAAAAATAGGTTTTTTTTCCTTGAAGATAATATTCTGTTATATACTATACTCCACAAGAAAAAGAGAGGATGGGGCATGGAGCCTGTCTTTAGGATGCTTCTGTTTCATAGCTCGAGAAAAACAGAAAATACAATGCATTTAGAGAAGTTACTGCAATAGAATTTTGTACATTGAATGGGGAGTGAAGTTTTAAAAAATTCCAAGTTTTATGGTTAAGAGGGAAACATGGTAGAGGAGATGGCTTCTGAATATGGTAGCACCAAGTTTACTGAATGGATAAATTGTCTGAGAAGGAGCAGCATAAACAGTCAGATGTGAAAAGACTGTACTTTGTTTTAGAAACTACTTGTAGTGTAATTCCTTAGAAAAATGAATTCACAGTTGAACAAAATGAATACCAGGAAGCTCGTACTTGAAAGTTGTCAAGGAGAGGGAGGGGGTAAGATGAAGAGAGGAAGATGAAGGAAATGCAGTCATTCTAAGTATTGTTATGGATATACTTGAAATCAGTAGCAAGAAAGAATTTTGCAAACTATAAAGAACTAGATAATAAATAACTTGTATGATATTGAGCAGTTTAATTTCCTATCACCAAACAGATCTACTAAATAAATTCTAACAAAGGGTGCCTGTGGCTCATGCCTGTAATCCTACTACTCAGGAAACTAAGATGGAAGTCAGCGGTGGCAGGAAAGTTCATGAGACTCTTACCTCCAGTTAACCAACAAAAAGCCAGAAGTGGAGCTGTGGCTCAAGTAGAAGAGCACCAGCCTTAAGTGTAAAAGCTAAGGTACAGTGCACCCAGGCCCTGAGTTCAAGCCCTAGTACTGACATATGTATGAATGCGCACATGTGTGTGCGCGCGCACACACACACACACACACACACACACCACATGCACAGAAAATTCTAGCAGAAGAGTATGATGACAGTAGAGTATTAAACAGCCAACTTGAGCAAAAATGAGGAGATATCTCATAATCAGAAAATCTGAAGGTAGGACTTGAAATTGTTAGGTGGCAGTTTGGATAGAAAAGAAATTGAGATATAGATTTTGAAGATTCAATTATTTGCTATTAGCAAGTAATGAGGATGGAATAGAGAACGATGAGACCTGTGATTGATAGAGGTGGGTAGTTGATGAAATGATATATTTGGCATATGTGTTTTATAGAATAGATATGCCACTATGAAATCACTTCCCAGCAAAGAACAGACTTAATAGTCCACCCATGAAGGTGTGGTCCCATGGCTAGCGCTCACTAGCGACAAGGTAACAGAGGGACGTGCATTGTCTTAGCTGAAGGCTTGTAAGAAGTGGGAAGTCCTTGTCCATGCTCTCTTCTGAAGGCAAGAAGGTCATAAGGGATGGGGGGTTACCCCAATAATGGAAAGGATACAGTCTCCAACATGGAAAAAAACCCACTTTACTACATGAGAGAAAAATATTTGTGTTAAATGTTACACATTTTGCAACACACATTTTTGTTTCAGAATACTTAGCAACACATTTAACTGATTGAAGAGGGGACCACATTTCTGCATGCATTCCCTGAAATATATGGCTATAGCTTTCTCAATTGATTAAACTTCCTAATGTGATATCACAGCTCCTTTTTCTTCTTGATGCATATTTGGAGCTTGTGTCAGGAGTTGAGGGAAGGACTTTTAAGTGCTGAAATGGTTAACAAGCCATTACTCCATATGGCCATTTGAAGGCCTCAATTTGATGAGAATCTGATCTTTGGTGAGGTCTATTGTAGTATATGCTGATGCTAGATAACAGAGGGAAAAAAAGTAGAGGGCTATGGAGAAGATGGGCTGGAGATGGGCTGGATTGGCAGGAGTGGATATTATTTCATTCCATGACCAGAAATTAAATCCTTGAGATCACCTTCAAGAAAAGCTTGGAAGGGTAGTCTAGCTATATATGACCATAAGGAAACAGAATCAAACTTGGCAATTGGCTAGTTTCTTCTTCTTTCTCCTGTATATAAGGCTATATACCACCACAGAATACATATTTTCTTTAAGTTGCAAACATTTATGTTTATGAAGACAATAGTAAGCTTCAGTGCTGGGCATCAGTGGCTCATGGTTGTAAAATCCTTGCTACTCAAGAGGTTGAGATCTGAGGATTTTAGTTCAGAGCCACCCAGGGCGGGAAAATCTCTGAAACTCTTTATCTCAAATTAACCATCAAAAAGCCAAAAGTGAAGCTGTGGCTCAAGTGGTAGAGCATTGAGTAGAAAATTGAGTAGAAAAAGCTAAAGGACAGCACCCAGGTTCTGAGTTCAGCAGCATGCCCACACGTGTGTGCACGCATGTGCACACACACATACACCCTCAGTAATTGGCAGAGAGGAGATTCATAGCCATGTTTTCTCATCAAAATTCAGTAAAATTGGATAGAAATAAATACAAATGGTTTTTAACTTCCATCCACTTTTGGGGAAATAAGGAAACACACCAGGATTAAAAAAAGAAACATAAGAGACAAGTTTGAGAGATAAGTTTGCATGTTTTCTCTTATTTGTGGAAGCTAGAGTTCATAAATAGCTAAGTAAAAATGTCAGTGGTATGCATATGTACACCGGTGTAGTAGCTGAAATATGGTAGATTCAGGGAGAACTCAAACAGTTCAACTTCTTAGAAAGGCTAAATCAGAGTTCAGCAAAATAAACACTAGGAATCAGATACCTAAAGGGGTTGGGTAGAGTCAAGGGAAGGAGATGGTAGAGGAAGAGATGAAGGGTGGGAGAGGGCAGTAAAAAATTTAATATATATCCTACAAAACTAAGAAAAGTGAGGGAAGGGGTAGCTTGGGAGGGATGAGTGAGAATATTGAAAGAAGTAACAGTGATCAAGACCCATTGTATTCCTAAATGGCTTTGTTGAATAGCAGCATTTTGTACAACTGCTTAAAGATAATAAAAATACATAGAAAAAGCAAAAACAATTCAAACCAAAGTGTATTCTGTAGAAAATTTATAGCTCTAGGTTTTGATATTTTGAAAAGTAAAAATAAATTAGTATATTTAGCAGAAGAATGGGAAAAGAATAACAGAATAAATCCTCAAAGTACTTTTGTTGCTTATCTTTTTAACCTGCATTGAATATTATCTGAAGCTTTTCCTTTTTGTCAGTAGCTTATTTCTTGTTTCTAAACCAATTTTAATGTAAGTGTATTGTTCACTACTGACTAGTAATAGGAAAATACTATGAAATTAATTAACTTTATAGATAGGATCTTATAAGTGGAATTTATGAACACAGGAATTGTTGAAATTTTTATTTTATTCTAGGATTTGATGGAAGAAGGAGGAACATATTCTTTACAAGGGAGGCCAGTATCTGCTAAAAAAACACGTTAGTATGATTATTTGAGTGAATTTTATTTAAATTTTAAATAGAAATCATTTAAATTTTAAATGCTTTTGAAAAATTTTACCTCAAAATATTTTAGGATATATTAGTAATAGGACTATTTTTATCATTTATAAAGTATACATGATGAATATACATAATGTAAATGTGAAGTGTAATGAATAAGAAATACTCTTGTCGGGCTTGGAGGCTCACTCCTGTAATCCTAGCTACTCAGGAGCCTGAGATCTGAGGATCGTGGTTCAAGGCCAGCCTGGGCAGGAAAGTCCATGAGACAGACTCGTCTCCAATAAATCACTGAGCAAACTGGAAGTGGTGCTGTGGCTCAAGTGGTAGAGGGCTAGTCTTGAGCTGAAGAGCTGAAGGACAGTGCCCAGGCCCAGAGCTCAAGCCCCACAGCTGACCAAAAAACAAAACAAAACAAAACACTCTTATAATCAGCTATGTAATTTAAGAAATTTTGTGTGAATGTTGTAGTTTTTGTAAATATCCTCAATTACATTTCCTTTTCTGCCCCCTAGAGGTAACTGTTATGTGAACCTGTTTTATGTGACGTGAATACACTTAGCTGTTGCTTGATTTCATATTTGTAATACCCTAAAGAAGCTATGTTTTTGCAGCTTTATTTTATGTACACAGTATTATATGTTGAGTTTCATTTACTTTAATATTTGTGGATCTAACACACTTCATTGTTTTCTGACTGGTACACAGCTATTTAGCATTCTGTATGTGAAAGTGCCACAATTTATACATCTTCTGGAAACGGATATTTAGATTGTTTTGAATATATTGCTCTTAGCTTTTTTGGTCATTCTTGATGTTTGTTCTGACACACATGATAAAAATTTGTCTAGGGTAAGTATTCAGAACTGAATCATTGGTTCATATGGTAGATACATTTTTACCTCTTCAGGATAACCCAAAATTATTTAACCTCTTATAAGCCTGGTAAGTTTAGTCACATACTTTAAATTCTAAATCTTTTATCATTGTAATCTGATATCCCACTGTAGGGGATATTTCTCTGATAATTAACCATCCATGTTTTATTTCTGAAATACCTTTTATTTATCTTTTTTTTTCTTTTGTGTCTCTTGGCTATATATTCTTGGTTTTGTTTCTTGTGACAAGCTCTTACTAAGTAGCCCAGGCTTGTCTTTATCCTCCTGCTTCAGCCCCCCTGGTGTTGAGGCTACAGGTGTGTTCTACCATACCCAGCTGCCCATGTGTGTTTTGGGAAGTTGTATTTTAGTTACATTTTTACACATCTATATCTAACTATCTCTATTTGCTATAAATTGCTTCTGATTCTTGAATTTTCTTGTTTGTATGTAGCAAATACTTCATATCTAAGTGCTTTTTTCATTATTTATTTCTTTTAATGGACAAAAAGTTTATATATCTGTCAATATTCTGAGCCAAGAATGGTTCTTCAGGTTATCTAATCTGTTAAAATACCTAAAAACCTTTGTGGACAAATCATTTGATATAGGTGGTGGTTCTGCATTCCATTGTCTCGTGCTTTTTTGCTGGAAATCCATTTTCATCACAAACAAGGAGGACAGTAGTTGTAGTTATTAGTGTGGAGGATGTAGAGATTCATGACCTACTTCCCAGGCTAACTTTTAAACTTTGTTTTCAATTAGGATGTAACATAGCAAAAAATGAAAGAATGTAGTACTGGGTACTTTGAATGCAGTTTTGGCTTCCCAGTGATGTTCTATTTACCAATTAGCAATAATATGTGATTCCTTGGGACTTGATAAACTTGGTTTATGCTTCCTTCCCATAGGTTGACACTTTTTTGCTTACAAAAGTGGTTCACATATTGGACAATTTAATTCAATTTTACCTTTTCTTCTTCCTTTCCTTATATACCTGTATTTTAAGGGAAAAATAAACTATATATGCTGTTAGAAATGCAAGGTGCCATGTATCCAAATTTTTTTTAACTAACTTTGGCACATTTTAAAGTACTATTTGTTATGTTATTAAGTTTATATTGTGAGCAGTATCTTCTGCATATATTTTGTAGGGTATACCTAATCTTTGTGAATTAAAACTTTATTTTTCAGGTCTTGATTCTTCACAGAGCAGTCTGTCTGCCAGTTATTCTCCAAGACCAACAGAGAGTTCTTTCAGTTCTAGTTCAGATATGGTATGTTATGCTTATTTACTTACCAATATATCCTATGTTAATTTAGAATTCTTTGCTTTTATCCTAGTTTCCTTTATCACTAAGAAAAATTGTTGACTCAAATGGTCAAAATAAAAAAATAGATTAAATATGTAAAAGGTTGCAGAAAATGTAAGAAATAGTTTAAAATGTAAAAGGAATACAAAATAAACATGTCTGAGCATTATTCATTCACATTTATAAAAATATTTTTTATAATTTTACATTAAACATTATTTACAAAAGTTTTTTTAATCAACATAAACAAGTGTAGATACTTTGGGCATAAACATACAATTTTTTTTTTTTTTTATCGGTCATAGGGCTTGAACTCTGGGCCTTGGTGCTGTCCCTCAGCACTTCAGCTCAAGGCTATCACTCTACCATTTGAGCCACAGTGCCACTTCTGGTTTTCTGAGTGTTTTATTGGGGATAAGAGTCTCACAGACTTAACTTCCTGGGCTGGCTTTGATCTGTGATCCTCCAATCTCAGCCTCCTGAGTAACTAGGATTATAGGCGTGAGCCACTGATGCCCAGCTTAAACATACAATTTATAATATATAAATATAAACACGTATATGGTTATATATTATACATAGATTATGACATTTTAAAGAACCTAAAATAATTGGAATCAAAATATACATTAAGATATAGTCTCAGTACTTATAAAATGAAAACTAGGTAATAGTAAATATAAATCACATACCTAAATGGAAGGAATTCTTCTTTCCCTCTTCTTCATCATTCCTTTTGTTTATACTTCTAATTTGCCATTAAAACCACTCTTGGTAAGGATTCCAGAGACTTTGTGTGCGTGTGTGTGCTTGTGTGCATGTGTACCAGTACTGGGGTTTGAACTCAAGGCTTCATGCTATTGCTTGTCATTTTTTCTCACAGCTGGTATTCTGCCACTTAAACCAGGGCTCCACTTGTGGCTTTTTGCTGGTTAATTGGAAATAAGAGTTGCACAGGCTTTTCTGCCTGGGTTGACTTTGAACTGTAACCCTCAAATTTCAGGCTTCTGAGTAGGTAGGATTACAAGCACAAGCCACTGGTGCCAGGCTGGACACCCAAGACTTCTGTGTTGCCCAGTTTAGTGGATACTTTTCAGTGTTTATATCATAAAGACTGTTAATTTGTGTAGAAGTCCCTTCTTCCTTCTATTTCCCCCTCTTTTCCCTCCCTCCTTTTCTTCCTTCCTTAATTTTTCAGTACTGAGAATTGGATTCAGAGCCTAACTCTTTTTTTATACACAACCAGTTTACTACCTGGGCCACACTCCATGCTCCCATCCTTGTGCCTTTACTTGGTTTTTCAGCTGTACTCTCACTTTTGCCCAGGGCTGACCTCAAACTACGATTATTCTGTCTCTGGCCCCAGATAGTTATAATTACAGATGCTTACTACTACACCTGGGTTATTATTTGATTTCGTTAAAATATTTTTGTGGGATTAATAGTTCAATGGTAGAGTGTGAGAGTGTGTGAAGTCGTGGGTTCAATTCCAGCACTACAAACATGTTTTATGGTCTGTGATCATAAACACAACAATCTTGGTTTCTTTCCTATCCCCATAAATGCTAGTTTATGCCTTTGCCATCATTTCCTCTACCTTCTTCTTATAACAATGTTGTAATGTCTAGGGTTTATGCAGAACCCTCTTCTGTTAATCTGTGCTTTAAAGCTTTAATGATGTTATCTACTCCAATAATTTTACATACTGTCTCAGTATATATTCCCAACTTTATGACTTTAGCCCCAATCCTAGATGTTCAATTTCTTTTTTCTTCTTTTTCTTCTTTTGTCGGTCGTAGGGCTTGAACTCTGGGCTTGGGCTCTTCAGCTCAAGGCGAGTGCTCTACCACTTGAGACACAGCGCCACTTCTGGTTTTCTAGTGGTTTACTGGAGATAAGAGTCTCATGGACTTTCCTGCCAGGGCTGGCTTTGAACTGCAATTCTCAGACCTCAGCCTCCTGAGCCGCTAGGATTACAGACGTGAGCCACCGGCGCCCGTCTAGATATTCAGTTTCTTAATGAAACATATATTATTAGAGTTCACAAAATCTTCATCTTTTGATACCTTACACTAAACACCCCTTGCCTTTCTCCCCAGGTCAGTTTTTCTGATATATCAGTAGATAGTTACCAAGTGGTCATATCAGAAGAGTTAGTATTTCTTCTTTTGTCTTATCTCATTTCCTCAACCACATTCATTCCATCACTTTAACCACTTATACTCTACCTCCAGAGTAAATCATAGATGTATCTGGTCCTCTCAACCTTTGACTTACCCCATTGTGTTCTTGAACTATTGTTTTTGTTTCCTAAGAGGTCTGTTTTCACTCTTAGTCCCGTTTATTATTCAGATAAAAAAACCCTGACTTTTTGTGAACATAAATTGAGTTGTGACATTCCTGTACATATTTCCAACTATTCAATGGGTTAGGCTTTATATCTGAATTCCTTGTAGTGGCTGCTGGTCCTGTGTAATGTGGCTCCTGGCTAGCATCTAGTATTCGTTTGCTCTCCACATTCTGACATTTCTTTCTTCAGTTTATCAGTCTCTTTTCTTCAGTAGGCTTGATACAGTTTGCTTCCTCATCCTTATTTTTGTTTAACTTTTTAAGGTATCATTGTAAATATGTCATTATTCAAAAAGCCTTCCCTGGCTCCCAGGTCTAAACCAGGTCTAAACCTAGTTATGATCTCAAAATATCTCCCAGTTGCTCTTTGCAATGTTTCCCTCAGCTTGTAGCTGTATATTCACCTATATGATGATGCCTGCAGTGCAGTCTTCTTCCTTGAGCATGTGCGCGCATGCTCAACCATGCTGCCTTCCTGGGATTATGTACCACCACACCCAGCCATTGGTCGACATGAAGTTTATGAACTTCTTTTTGCTCAGACTAGTTTTGATCTATGATTCCCCTATTTCCACCTCTCAAGTAGGAGTATGTATTTGAGTCACCTTGCTGCCTGGCTTTTTATTGGTATTTTAAAATCTGTAACCTGCTAGGAGATATTTGAAGATTATTTGATGTGTATTTGTATCCTGTATATGTATCCTATATGTATCCTATATCGTGAACTGATGAATGATATAAAAAATTACACAGTAATTAAATTATTTAATTGCTTTTAGCTATCTGAAGATGAAGGTCAACTATCGCAGCAAATTGAAGATTCAAATAAGATATCCCCGAAGACTGCAGAAACAGTTAAAAGTTTTTACCCAGAAAGGATGGGAAAATATATGGGTGGTCAGATTGTTAAAGATAATGCTGAAGTTCACACACAGAATGCGTGTTCTCACGAAGTATCACTGAAAAATAATACAGATGAATGTCCACAGTCTCAGTGCAATTCCACATACATAGAGCAGACCCCCTCCAATAATAACTGCATTGTTCAGGTTCCAAGGTGTGATGCTGGGGTGCAAACAGAGAGAAAACCCACTCTGGGAAGAAAGATAGATGCTGCAGTACAGTGCAGCATACTTTCAGAATGTGTGTGTAGAAGCAGTGTGTCTCCTCTTGACAGTAGCGAATGTTGCAGTGAAAATATTAAGGAAGATACCACTGGAGGGCAGGAGAGCCTTGAGTAAGTAATGTTCTGAATTCAGCCCAGGGTGGAGCATTTCATTTCACTTGATTTTGGAGGAAGGCAGTAGTGAATGTCCAGAATTTCATTAACAGAATGAGTAATGAGAAAATGGTGCTAAGATTAAGTTGCAAAGGTATATTTGTGGTTCTTTTGAAAATGTTTTAATGTTGTTTATGTATTTAATTTTTATGTAGGCATTTTAATGGCTTTAATATATCTTCAAGTTTTTAGGAAATAATGCTTTTAAGTACAGCATCATTCTCCTGTTTACTATTTGTGATGTTGAACTGATAAGCTGTTATTTGTGAATTAAAATATACTTAGTTGCTTTCTTCCTTATGGCATTTATTTTAAAACTTAATTCAGTTGCATATTGGTGAAAAAAATGTTCTCATTCAAAATTTGAAGGTAGAAAATAATGCCTAAATATTTTATGTCCTCATTGTAAGCATTTTGTTAGCTATTCCTTTTTAATATTGTACTCCATTTTATTATTTTACAAAGTTCTGAACAACTGCAATCTATTTCTTTCCATTTCTCTCTTCTTCCTCACTCCCTCTTTATTTCTCTCTTTGCAGTGCTGGGGATCAAACTCAGGGTCTCATGCATGCTAGGCAAATGCTTTGTCATTGAGTCCTACATGAATTAACTTGTAAAGAAAATACATCTTCTGTTTTATTTGGATAACATTTTTGTTGTTGCTTTATTAGTTCAAAGAAAACTATTTTTCTCTTTAAGGTAAAAATGCATTAATGCTTTTAGGGCATTGTTTGAAATTGCAAAAGTTTTTTTTTTGGTTGGTCGTGGGGCTTGAACTTTTTTGTTTGTTTATGAGACAGGGTCTCATTACATAGCACCTGAACTGGCTTTGAACTTGAAATCCTTCCTCAGTCTTCTTAGGGCTTGGGTTACAGGTATGATCAATCACACTTGCATCCCCTGTGTACAATTTTACATGCAAAATCACATTTTTAATAAAAGTTTCTTTTTCATGAACCCTCAAACCTGAGCCACAGGGAAGAATGCAGCAAGACACAGATCACACACAAGAAAGTCAGAAATGCTAGAGAAATGATGGTTGAATAGCAATTTAATCCATATTTAGGGTGACATCAATGGATAATACCCAGGTCAATAAAAAAATCAAGATTAAGTATTAGAAACTTGGGTTCTGGAATCAGACCTGTGATTTGAACCTGTTTATTATACTACCTTGGGAAAAGCACCTCAGGAATTTAACTTCAAGTTCCTTTTTTTTGTAAAATGAGGATAATACCTTCATACTCTGTTGTGAAGATTAAAAGCATAAAAGATAAAAAGTATATCTATACACATATTCCTTCTGTCTCTCTCATAGTTAAGGTCAATCACCAAATGATTACTTAATGTTTATTAAATACTAAACTCTGCTCCAGGGGATACAGAAGGTCTTGGCTTCATAAAACATACATATAGCCAGCTCTTGTGGGGTACACTGTAATCCCACTACAGGGAAGGTAAGGCAGGATATACTCCTGGATACATAGGGAGTTCAAGGCCAGCCTGGGCTGCATAACAAGACCCTATTCCCCTTCCTCCCAAACAGTGTGAACTAACCAAACCTGTTTCAGTAACATAGAAAGCAACGTCTTGATGGAAAATTTATTAAATCTAATATATTAGGAGTCAACAAGTTTTATTCATGGTTGAAAAAGTTGGGATCTGTAATAAAGATTACAAAAGACCTGTGACAATTCTCTTCTGATGTTAGATGTCCCAGTTTTACCAATTTAACACTCTAAGCATATACCAGCAAATGTTTTTATTCTCTGGAGGTAAAATCTTGTTTTGTTTTGTTATTTGGGTCGGTCATGGGGCTTGAACTCTGGGCCTCAGCACCTGAGCCACAGCACCCCTTTCGGTTTTCTGAGTGGTTTACTGGAGAGTCTCATGGCCTTTTCTGCCTGCTGGCTTTGAACCCAAACCTCAGATCTCAGCCTCCTGAATATCCAGATTACAGGTGTGAGCCACGGGTTTCTTGTTAATTTTAAGAATGTATTTTCCCATTGGTGTGAGAGTTAACTTTAGCAAGATGCAGTGACTCACATCTGTAATCTTAACAACTCAGGAGGCTGAGATCTCAAGGATCACTGTTCAAAGCCAGCCTGACCAGAAAAGTCTATGAGACTCTATCTCCAGTTAACTAAGTAAAAGCAGGATTGGAGGCATGATTCTAGTGGCAGAGAAGCAGCCAAGTAAGCAAACCCAGCAAGCCCGAGGCCCTGAATTCAAGTGCTAGTAAAAAAAGAAAAACAAATTTCTTACCTGCCAGTGGCCATTTGTTCCTCAGCTTTTAAAATCATTGGACATGTTTGTGAATGATACTCATTTTAACAATTTTTATTGATACTTGTTAGAAATAAACACATAAAAACACATTAACAAGCTAGTCCTCCAAAAGCAGTTTGGAACATTTGGAAAGGATGAGTACAAACATACCTTTTTTTCCCTAGCATAATTTAGATATAATGACAATTCGTTATGTTTGATAGTGGTCAGTTGTAGCTTTTCTTTGACTGGTAAAGAGGAATTCCTTGTTGCAGTTGAGACGAGGTTATGGGTTGTTTGCTCCGAAGGCTGCTTTTACTCGGAAATACCTGACTTCGTACAAAGTGACTTTCCACATGGCATGTCTTAAACCATTTTCTAGTGACTCTGAGTAATGATTTCTTTGTTCAGTACCTATTTTAGTATATAACTTAATCTGGGAGTCTTTTGTGAATTTCACAAGCAGATTTACTGTGTACTTTCAAATGTCATTGACACATAGTAGATTTGAGAATTGTTCACAATCAACTATGGGTTGTGGCAGGCATGCTATTGCAGATCCCTCTGATTTATGTGTTCTATTTATAGTTCCAAGGTTGTATTTATTCTTTCCTCAATGTAGTGAATTTCATGTTTACAGCCAGTTCTGTAGAGCATTTCCAGACAGGTAATTACCAAGGAGACAGGCAGCTACTGCAAATGAGAGATAATTGTCATGCCATGTGTACTGTATTCTTTTCTTTTTTTTTTTGGGTGCGGTCGTGGGACCTGAACTCTGGGCCTGGGCGCTGTCCCTCAGCATTTCAGCCCAAGGCTAGCACTCTATTACTTGAGCCACAGCGCCACTTCTGGCTTTTTTCTTATGTGGTGCTTAGGAATCGAACCCAGGGCCTCAAGCATGCAAGGCAAGCGCTCTACCACTGAGCCACATTCCCAGCCCCGTGTACTGTATTCTTGAGCACATAATCTGAATATATTTTTTAAAAATGCCGAAGTCAGGCATAGGTGGCTCCTGTAATCCTAGCTCCTCAGGAAGCTGATATTTGAGGATCACGGTTCAAAGCCAGCCCTGGCAGAAAAGAATGTTAGCTTCTTCAGTTAACTCTCAAAAAGCCAGAATTAGAGTATAAAAGGTTAAGGGACACTCAGACTCAGTTTAAGCCACAGTCCCATCAAAAAAATTCATAAGATGAAGAAAATATTAATATGTTTTCCACATTTTTTTGAGGTATAGGGACTTGATCTTTCTTTGCTTGCTTGCTCAGATGGTGCTCTATCACTTGAAACATGCCTCTAGCCCTTCTTTTCTGCTGGCTTTGAATCCCAGTCTTGCAGATCTTAGCCTCCGGAGCAGCTAGAATAAGAGTCAAGTGTTTGTTGATTTAAATCTCTGCATTTGAGGAGGTGGTTTGTTACAGAACAATAACTGGTTACTAATACGGTTAATCACAATCTTTCTAGTGCTTTGGAGTTGAGGGGATTAGCAAAGTTAAGCTATCGAAGTGTGTGTGTAGGAAAGAACATTTTAATTACCAAGCCCTTAATATCATTTGCATGGTATAAATGTTTTTGGAAATTTTTTAGCAAGCCAATATATTCAAGGGGTAAATTTCTATGGCAGACTAGGAATTAGGATTTAGAAAATATATAGCCATACATATACATACATATATACATACATACATACATACATACATACACACATACTTTTCTTCTCTACACAAATATATATACATCCATGTACATCCATGATCTTGCTTTCCTTACAGGATCAAAGCAATAGGGAGAGGGTATCTATTCCCACTAAATGCGTTGTAAAACTTCAGTGGGTTTTTACAGTCTTTGTAAGTGCTATGGTAAGGTTTTGTTCAGCCACATCTTGGAATCCCCTATCATCTGGGCATGTCAGAATCAGAGAGCTCTGTCTTTGCAGTAGAGAAAAAAACAGGAAAGAATAAAAAAGTAGGAAGAATGTGAGATTTGAAGCCCAAACAATTTTATCTGTTTAGAATACAATTTCTTTGGCATTTTTAGATGATTTTTTTTCTCTTCTTTTACTTCCCCAAATAAAGAGATCATGTTACCACTGAGCTTAGCTTGGGCTCTGTCGGGAGGGGTAACAAAGAGGGTGAATTAGGATGAATATGGTCTGTGGTAGAAGTTGTTTGTATGTGTGAAAATAGAATAGTGAAGCCATTTAAAATTTAGGCGTAGGGAGTGGGGTTAAGGGCGTGATAGAAGGAGTGAGACTGGTGGGGAGCATATGTGTTGTTTCCTCCATGAAATGGTTATTCTTATTTCTCCAAATTTTCATTATATTTACTGGGTTGTGTAATCGGTGTGGACATATGCCTTTCCTGGGGCCATGCATGCATTTCAGCCAACTTCAAGCAGCCTGGTCATCATTTAAAAATATGGAAACAGGGCCAGGTGCCACTGCCTCACACCTGTAAACCTTGCTACTCAGGAGGCTGAGATCTGAGGATCATGGCTCAAAGCCAGCCCGGGCAGGAAAATCTGTAAGACTCTTATCTCTTATCTGTCCCTCAGATCTTCATCTCAAGGCGAGTGCTGTACCACTTGAGCCACAGCACCACTTCCAGTTTTTTGGTGGTTTATTGGAGATAAGAGTCTCTCAGACTTTTCCTGCCTGGGCCGGCTTTGAACTGCGATCCTCAGCTCTCAGCCTCCTGA